AAAAAAAAAAAAAAAAAAAAAGGCAAAATTTTGCTCAACTCAGTAGAGTCACTGGGCATCTAGAATTTGGAAATCAATGGAGTCTACCACTATACCAACACCTGCCCTTCTAACCAATACAGAGAAAAGGTCATCAAGCTTTCCATAGACTAAATATCCTAATTCTGGTTCTTTAAAACTCACTTTCTCCATAAAGCCCCAGGAAAAACAGGTACGGGTTGTCATTTAATCCCTGATACACCTTTTGTCACTTTCATAGAAAAGAAGATAAAGATTTAAAAAAACAACATGCTGGCTGCACATGGTGGCTCACCCCTATAATCCCAGCACCTTAAGAGGCCGAGAAAGGAGAATCACTTGAGCCTGGAAATTTAAGACCAGCCTGGGCAACAAAGTGAGACCCTGTGTCTCCACAAAAAATTATTAGCCAGGCATGGTGGCATGCACATGTACTCCCAACTACTTGGGAAGCTGAGATAGGAGGATCACTTGAGCTCAGGAGTTTGAGGCTGCAGTGAGCTAGGACTTCACCACCACACTGCAGCCCTATCTCTAAAAAAATTAAAAATAAATAAAAATAGGCCAGGTGCAGTGGCTCATGCCTGTAATTCCAGCGCTTTGGAAGTCCAAGATAACCTGAGGTCAGGAGTTCGGGACCAGTCTGGCCAACATAGCGAGACTCCGTCTCTACTAAAAATGCAAAAATTAGCCCAGCATGGTGGCACATGCCTGTAATCACAGCTTCTTGGGAAGCTGAGGCACAAGAACTGCTTGAATCCAGGAGGTGTATGTTGCAATGAAGCGAGACTGCACCACTGCACTCCAGCCTGGGTGACAGAGTGAGATTCTGTCTCAAAAACAAACAAAAAAAAACAAAAACACACAACAACAACAACAACAACAAAACACACACACACAAAAAAACCCACAAAAAAACTATAAAAATAATAGTAATTGGCCTGGCATGGTGGCTTATGCCTGTAATCCTAGCACTTTGGTAGGCCGAGGCAGGTGGGTCACTTGAGGTCAGGAGTTCAAGACCAGCCTGGCCAACATGGTCAAACCCTGTCTCTACCAAAAATACAAAAATATTAGCTGGGCATAGTGGCGCATGTCTGTAATCCCAGCTATTCGGGAGGCTGAGACAGGAGAATCACTTGAACCCAGGAGGTGGAGGTCACAGTGAGGCGAGATCGTGCTATTGCATTCCAGCCTGGGCAACAGAGTGAGACTCCGTCTCAAAAAAATAATAATAATAAAATAAAAAATAAATAAATAAATACATAAAACAAAAATAATAATAATTACTAAATAAATACAAATTGAGGCTGCTGCTGCATAGGGCATACAGAGAAAAAAATTAGGAATCTCAATTATACTTTTCCTCCCCGCTTTTTTAAAAAAATACCAATCAGAGATTGACACTGGTCTTTCATCTTTACTAAATTTCTACAAGACTGCTCCACCTGTCAGCATACAGTCAGCCACCTACTAGAATAAGAAATACAAAGTACTTACCCACAGTTGTTGACAGCCATAAGATTGGAGACAAGCACAAAGGGATAGGTCAACATACTCGCAAAAAACTGTAAAATGGAAACAAGGCAGCTGTTATTAGATCATTCCTAGTCTTTATTCTCCTTTCTTTTACCTTAAGGGCCTAGTGCCACTGCGGTGAGACACTCTAACACTTGTCTCGCTTTCTCAATACCCTGGAAAGACAACAGTTACAGTTTTGAGCCTGGAGATAATTCTTCCTCTTAACACACCACGGCATCCAACATTTTAATAAAAGGCTAGAAGACTTCTCTGATCCTGAGTAGCTGGGACTATAGGCGCACACCACCATGCCCAGCTACTTTTCTTTTTTTTTTTTTTAAGAGACAGAGTTTCGCTCTTGTTGCCCAGGCTGGAGTGCAATGGCGCAATACTGGCTCACTGCAACCTCTGCCTCCTGGGTTCAAGCAATTCTCCTGCCTTAGCCTCCCGAGTAGCTGGGATTACAGGCAGGCACCACCATGCCCAGCTAATTTTGTAGTTTTAGTAGAGACGAGATTTCTCCAAGTTGGCCAGGCTGGTGTCCAACTCCCGACCTCAGCCTCCCAAAGTGCTGGGATTACAGGAGTGAGCCACCGCGCCCGCCCCAGCTACTTTTTTTTTTTTTAAACTTTTGTAGAAATGGGGTCTTGCTCAGTTGCCCAGGCTGGTCTTGAACTCTTGGCCTCAAGTGATCCTCCTTCCTTGGCCTCCCGAAGTGCTGAGTTTACAGGCGTGAACCACCATGTGTGGCCTGAACAATACTATTTAGGAGGAAAGGCACACCCACTATGAACCTGAGCAGTACCAAACCATGCAGGATGTGAGGCAGGGGCTCTGCCTTATTCTCTTTATTTTCACATGTGAGTCTGTTGTTCCTTCGAAAACTGAGTTATTCTCTCTTTTTTCTTTGAGATGGAGTCTCGCTCTGTCGCCCAGGCTGAAGTGCAGTGGCGTGATCTCAGCTCATTGCAGCCTCCATGTCCCAGGTTCCAGCAATTCTCCTGCCTCAGCCTCCTGAGTAGCTGGGATTATAGGCATGCACCACCACGCTTTAGTATTTTCAGTAGAGACGGGGACTCACCACGTTGGCCAGGCTGGTCTCGAACTCCTGACCTCAGGTGATCTGCCCACCTCACCCTCCCAAAGTGCTAGGATTACAGGCGTGATCCACGGCGCCTGGCCAAACACTGAGTTATTCTTACCTTTGACAAATATAACAAATTTGAGGGAGATGTCCCAGTGAGACATCTGGTTATCTTAAAGCAGTGATGACACAAGCCAGATTTAAAAGGAAAACAAAACAAAACACAACTATTCCTAGAAGGTTAAAAGGATTTTAAAAAACTCACTCCTGTGACAGCTTGAGAATAACTCTTCATTTCATTCATGGTAGAAACCTAAAACAGGAAAAGAGCCTTAAATTAATTGACTACAACACTACAACACATCAATATATTCTTTTTCCCTTTCCCTTTTTTTTCTTTTTTTTTTTTTCTTTTTTTTTTTTTAACTTTCATTCAGTGTCTCGCTCTGTCACCGAGGCTGGAGTGCAGTTCTCTCCTGAAGCACACATCACCACGCCCAGCAAATTTC